TCTTGTTATCTCAGATTCTCCAGCATCTGCAGTTCCGACTATCTCCCAAACAGATTAATGCTATTTGCCTTTAAGGGCATTTTAATCGGTATCTAACATTAAATTCTTCAACTGCAAAGCATTAGTGGAGAATCTGACTTGTGAATTGAAGATGAGGTTGTATTGCTAATTCTCTAATCATGTTCTTGTTGGGTCAGCTCTTCATTGAATTTGGAAGTTTACCCTTTAGTTTTCTCTTAAATTACTCTATCAATGTTGCTCTTGGTGGCTTATTTCCTTACTCTTTGCCAATAGCAATCGTGCTCTTTCCTACCCTGTCACTTTGTTGAAATCAGGGCTAATTAGAATCTCCAATTCTAATTCAATTTTTCCCACGACCTCAAAATTAGAAATCTATAGCTTGCTCAGCACTTCTTTCCAGATACAACTTTCAGAGTTCATATTCCCTTCATCATTACTTGCTGACTTAGCTCATCTCTTTTTCATTTCTTAACCTGTACTATAGGCATTACTTTCCGAATGGTTTTAAAAGATCATGTCAATCAATTTCAGAACTAACCAAAAAGATTTATGAGGAGCTCTTCTCGTAATGAGTATGAGTCAAAAGTTCCTTTGTTCACTCTAACTGTGGGTGCAACACTGCTATGTGTAATGCTGAGGGAGCTCACCTAGCCTTGTTCAAAGCAACTATTTTTCTTTGATTTATGCTAATATTTAAAAAAAAATGCTGCCAACTTAGAAAGTGGCTGAATTTTTATCTGAAGGTTTAATAAATAGATGCCCATGTATAATTGTGAGTTTGTCTGGTTGTAGTATTAATACTCTTAGTGAGGCAAGCACAAGGAACAGATTTCCAATACCAATCTCACTAGTGACTAGTGCCCCCTGGTGGTTCAGATTAAATATTAGGAACATTTCATTTCTCCAGCTTTCAGCTCTATGTTCCAGGCCTATTTCTGAGAATGCTGGCCAACGAATGACAACCATTTCTGGTATTCTATTTTAAAATATATCAACCAGGTTTTGTGCATGTGGTGTCACTCAAAGGTCAAGCTTACAATAAACTGGTAAGAGTTAAAGAGTTAAACCTGAATGCCCTGGTCGACCCATTGTCTCCGCACGCTCTTGCCCCACCAAACTGATCTCCAACTATCTGGACTCCATTTTCTCCCCCTTGGTCCAGGAACTCCCTACCTATGTCCGTGACACCACCCACGCCCTCCACCTCCTCCAGAACTTCCAATTCCCTGGTCCCCAACACCTCATCTTTACCATGGACGTCCAGTCCCTCTACACCTGCATTCCCCATGCAGATGGCCTTAAGGCCCTCCGCTTCTTCCTGTCCCGCAGGCCCGACCAGTCCCCCTCCACTGACACCCTCATCCGCTTAGCCGAACTCGTCCTCACCCTCAACAACTTCTCTTTCAATTCCTCCCACTTCCTACAGACAAAGGGGGTAGCCATGGGTACCCGCATGGGCCCAAGCTATGCCTGCCTCTTTGTAGGTTACGTGGAACAATCCCTCTTCCGTACCTACACTGGCCCTAAACCCCACCTCTTCCTCCGTTACATCAATGACTGTATCGGCGCCGCCTCGTGCTCCCACGAGGAGCTCGAACAGTTCATCCACTTCACTAACACCTTCCACCCCAACCTTAAGTTTACCTGGACCATCTCTAACACCTCTCTCCCCTTCCTGGACCTCTCGGTCTCCATATCGGGCAACCACCTAGAAACCGATATTCATTTCAAGCCCACTGACTCCCACAGCTACCTAGAATACTCCTCCTCCCACGCACCTTCCTGCAAAAATGCTATCCCCTATTCCCAATTCCTTCGCCTCCGCCGCATCTGCTCCCAGGATGAGGCATTCCACTCCCGTACATCTCAGTTGTCCTCGTTTTTCAAGGACCGTAACTTCCCCCCCTCAGTGGTCGAGAACGCCCTCAACCGTGTCTCCCACATCTCCCGCAACTCATCCCTCACACCCCGTCCACGCAATAAGAACCAAAAAAGAATCCCCCTCGTCCTCACGTACCACCCCACCAACCTCCGGATCCAACGCATCATCCTCCGACACTTCCGCCATCTGCAATCCCACCCCACCACCAAAGACATCTTTCCCTCCCCACCCTTATCTGCTTTCCGGAGGGATCACTCTCTCCGTGACTCCCTTGTCCGCTCCACACTCCCCTGCAGCTCCACCACACCCGGCACTTTTCCCTGCAACCGCAGGAAGTGCTACACCTGCCCCCATACCAGGTCCCAAGAAGACTTTCCACATCAAGCAGATGTTCACCTGCACATCTGCCAATGTGGTATACTGCATCCGCTGTACCCGGTGTGGCTTCCTCTACATCGGGGAAACTAAGCGGAGACTCGGAGACCGCTTTGCAGAACACCTACGCTCGGTTCGCAATAAACAACTGCACCTCCCAGTCGCGAACCATTTCAACTCCCCTTCCCATTCCTCAGACGACATGTCCATCCTGGGCCTCCTGCAGTGCCACAACGATGCCACCCGAAGGTTGCAGGAACAGCAACTCATATTCCGCTTGGGAACCCTGCGGCCCAATGGTATCAATGTGGATTTCAAAATCTCCCCTCCCCCTACCGCATCCCAAAACCAGTCCAGCTCGTCCCTGCCTCCCTAACCTGTTCTTCCTCCCACCTATCCCCTCCTCCCACCTCAAGCCGCACCTCCATCTCCTACCGACTAACCTCATCCCGCCCCCTTGACCTGTCCGTCCTCCCTGGACTGACCAATCCCCTCCCTAACTCCCCACCTACACTCACCTTTACTGGCCCCATCCCCACCTGTTTGTTTCCTCTCCACCTATCTTCTCCTCTATCCATCTTCTATCCGCCTCCCACTCTCTCCCTATTTATTTCAGAACCCCCTTCCCCTCCCCCTTTTCTGATGAAGGGTCTAGGCCCGAAACGTCAGCCTCTCTGCTCCTATGATGCTGCTTGGCCTGCTGTGTTCATCCAGCCCTGCACCTTGTTGTCTTAGAGTTAAAGAAGTACTGGCTTAGTATTTGGGGAAGGGGGATGGAGGAGGGGGGGCATACAATTCTGTGGAAGTATTCTCAATTGTCCATGATAATTTCAGAAGATCCTCAGAAAATTATAGTAATCATGCTTATTTACTATGTTTATACATCATTTGAGGCTTTTGGTATTTCCAGATCACTCTAATTAAGATCAAATTTGCTACTCTTATGTTCTGTTGACAAATTTATTTCATTGCAGTACGAATCAAAAATGATTGTGATACAGATGCCCTTTTAAGGAAACACAGTCACTGGGAGAACAGGGAGGTTCAAGGCAAAGAAAAAAATCCTGAAATGTCAACACTACATCCAACAGTAGTGTGATTAATGGCTAAGTAATTGGTTATATCATACATCCCCCAGCACTGGTTCTGAAAGGGAGTATATTTTGGGGAGAAGGGATTTTTATTATAAAATAAGTAACACTTTCAGAAATTCATTACTCTTTTATTCCCAGTTGCAAGTCACAGTCAAAGACTGGAATCTTAGTTTTGAAATGAGACAGAGGACCATTTCCAAGTCCCAGTGCTGATTGTTTATAAGGTCTGCCTGCAAATCTTACCAGACACCACTCTTATGAGGCCCATCCAGTTAAGGTCAGTAGGAAGGCCAATATGAAAGCTGCAGGCTGTGGGTGGCCGACAGTCCTACCCAGAGAGGTGGGCTGTGTCAATTTACATGGGGGGATCGTGACAGTCCCTCAAGATGGATGATTGCTCTTAAGACTTTAAAACAACTTTATTAAACTGTGTCTGCAGACCTGCAGCTGCACCAGTGGTCGTTTTCCTCTTTCTTTATTAAAGATGAAATACAAATTTTAAAGCTGAATTAAAACTTCATTTGAATTTAAAATTGAAAGAGCCTGGTGTGTTTGCTGTTCAAAGTATGTAATTTGTTTAAAAATACTTTGTACGTTAGCAATGGATACTTTATATCATTTAGACTTTCAAATAACAAAGATTTGCCACCATTTACACCTGGCAAAATAGAGTGGTTAATGTTAGTTAGTTTATACTTAAAAAGACCTCCAGGTTAAGGAAGTTCATAAGCAGCATGACTTCAAACAGTACTTACACATTAATATGCGTGGAAAATCAAAGCAGGCACATATTAATGGAAGGGTGAAGCAGAATCATGGTCATGAACAAAATAATGAAAAGCATTATAAGAAAACAACAAAGTGTACCTTGCAGCAACTTTTAAGCATGAAATTGATGGGTGGAAACAAGCATAGTGAACAATTCTAATCAAATATGAAAAAACAGCTCTTGCACAATCATTTTACTCAGAATGTTGAACTGGATATAAAATGGTCCAGTCAGGTAGTATACTAAACTTGCACCTAGAGACTAAGACATGTATCTCATCTATACTGTAGGATGAGAATCACTTCCTCTACTGGCTACAAGTTCTTGGTGAAAATGGTTTGGCAACCTCAATCTGGTTTCTTGTGAGTCTGTATTTATGTCACAAACTATCCTTAAACTATGCATCTTTGGGGATTAATCTGGACGGAACCTTTCATCTCATCAATGAGACAATAAAGTAGAAAGTCAATGCAAAAAAGAAATCACCCTAGGACAGTTGAGTGCCATACTTAATACAAAATGTAAGATCTTACCATCCTCCATGACTAGTAAAACAAAAATGCACTAAATCGCATCAAATATGTTTTATACTGTGTACTCCATCAGGTTCATCATCATATTGTCCACAGTGTCCTAACTTCAATGGGACAGAGTTTAACAAGGTTGCTGACTTCTCCACAATAGCCAACACCACTGAGAGGATATCAGATTTGACTTCTGGGATATAATCTCATAACCAGCTGACCATGAAGCAAACCACTTCCACTATCATTTTATTCAGCAGCTAACATAGCAAAAGATTCTTAGGATTCAACAAAGCTAATATCTCACAAAAACACATCCAATTGGATATTTTAGCTTTCAGCAATAAAAAAAATAGAAAAAGTACCATATTGCTTGTAGATCGGAGGCTTTCTATAGATATTAGTCCCTTGGTCTGTGGAAAGAAAGTTACACAGTTTATTAATTAGGATATTACACCATTGGAAAATTAATCATTTCTGATAATACCAAGCAAAGCTAATAGGTACAATGATCTAATATAAGATTCAACACAAATGATTGCAAACATCAATGTGAAATGTTAGAGTGAATCATAGGAATGCCAACTGTCTACTTCAGCAATCACACAGCAGGACAGAACTTGCGTAGGCACCAACACTGCAAACTGCAAATGCTTTGATATATGGATAATCAGAACGAGGATAATGGCAACAATTTATGGTTGAGATTTCCACAGTTTACATGAAACTTTGTATGGTGCAAAGAGTTTCTGCTTCTATAGTTTTTCATTTAAGTACATTACGCGACTCACTTCCTAACTCAATTGCCATGTATTGAGCACTGCCATTTCCCTGGTAGAGGCCAGAATACAGTTTAATTAGGAATGATGCTGCATAAACTATGCACTGCCACACAAGTTTCAGGCCAGAGATTTATACGAATTCCTTCAGGATTGTTGACATGTGTCAATAATATGAACATTGGAAACAGGATAGAATGTAATAAGCTTCGTCAATCATCAGGACAGGCTCATTATAGCTTTAGATATGGTTACTACAGTGATCTGCAGGCTCAAATTGTGATTGTGCATTCTGTGTCACTCAAGGTGGCTTCAGCACAGCATCAGGCAGAGTCATTAAAAAGCTGGTCAGGGCTGGTGCAGCTCGAGGCAGGAACAATATTGTAAAGTGGAGGCTCAGTATGTAACTGGGAACTATCTGTACAGCACAGGCTAGGTTTACTACACTGCTAGACAGCCCTGTACAACACAAGAAATTGAATAAGTGGAGTGACATTACCAGGTCAGTGCATCACTAGGCAGATTTAGTGGGTCACTGGGCAGGACTAATGTGTTATTAGCAGCCACTGTGTCACTGGTGGAGTGAATGGCAAAGTCAGTTTTGATGATATTTAATTTTAACACTGTATTAACTTAATCAATATCTTAATTGTGAATAAGTGTACAACTGACATTGCTCAGGAGTTTCAGAAGCTTGAGCAATCAAAGTCAACAAGCTTAAAATCAAATGACACAAATCTCACTTTTAAAGTTTTAACAGGGAGGAACTGAGATCAACAAGTCAGATAATTTGGCATTGTCAGTCTACTCTACTTCATTAAGAGACGTCTCGCAAAATTGATCAGGAGGGATGTACTTCAATAACAAACTGCTCGAAGCAGAACACTGGATTGCGGAACATTACAGCCTTACGTTGCTGATGTGACTTGTAAACATAAAACAAATAACACAATGTGCTGGGTAAGATGTAAAAAACCAACATAAGATTCTTTAGCATTGCCTAATCCTTCTGGTTCATCAACTCAGCGCATGGATCTTCCAACAGATTTGAAATTGATTCACAATTTGTATATTGTATCTTTTAACAAGGAAGTAATTATGTATTTGGACAGGAAAGAAAATCCAAAAATTTCCATTTATGGACATATTACTTCACTATTACCATTTCAAACAGCCTGTACCCACTTCTCTACCATCATTTGATTATTTTAATTCAAAAATTACCTCTGCTGCCTACAGGTGAGAAATGTTTTGCTATCATAATATTTTATTCCAACAGAAGATAGCAGGATAATACTTAATTTTCCTGAGATGGCCAACAGACCTGGTCCTGTGGGCTTCACTAGAGCAGCCTTTGAGAGATGCAAATTCAACACTTCAGCACTCACAAATTATCCAGGCTCATTATGTGTCAATGATTCTACTCCTGAAGTCTTACAGTTTTCTGGCTTTAGTCCTAGTTTGTTCTCATGGCTGCTTTCTTCAGATTATTGAGTTCTCAATGTTCTTGCAAAATTCGCTCCACACAGAATAACTTTCCTTAGAATGAAGAAATCTGATTTGGCTAATAAGCATGGAACCTTGAAAGACCCAAACAAAGCTCCCAATTTGTGCTTAGGTAACTGATCTTACTGAGGTGTACATAGCGGGTGCCTGATTTATCCTGTGTGCCCTGAATTAGGGAGGTGGCAATCAAGTAAGTTTTGCTTTCCTGAATGTTACCCATATTTTCCACTAGAACAAAGATTCCCAGTGGGGCGTGAATGCGTGGAAATATCAGCTGAGGACAGACTTTTATTTGGCTGTGATACCTCCTTTGAGGGAATACTCTATCAACACTCAGTACGAAGATCCAGCAAGAATCATCATGGAGAGATATTATGAGATGATTGGAAAATTAGAAGAACTGAGGCAGAATGTATATAAGACCCAATTTTGTTTCAGCTAATAGTACTCTGGGTAATATGAAAACAATTGTATGAATAGTTTGCTGTTGATGTGATTTTCTTTTAGTATGATATAGATATCTCTTCACATTATCAATCAGGTTTTATTTGACAAGTGGTCATGAAAACCTTCATGACATATAATCAGAGTAAAAAATATGGTATTATACCAAAAGACTACCTTTGTTTGTATTTCCAGTTTAACTCTTCAGATCAATTATATTTTGATGCACCACAGTGATTTCCTTTTCATTTCTAGTACTTGGCTTGTAGGATAAAATTAAAACTGTTTTCAATTAGCCCATCAAGACTTCCCTCCACTGATCGTACAGCTTTTAATCAGCTTCCCCTCCACTGGACTTGAAACGTTAACCCTGTTCTCTCTTCACAGCTGCTGCCAGGCCTGCTGAGTTTCTTCAGTAATTTCTGTTTTTGTTGGTTTCACATCTCCAGCATCTGCAGTTTTTTATGTTTGTCCCATAAGTGATAGTTTCTATGTACTATGCATGCCTTACAGTCTATTTAATTACCCACTAAATGTAAATAATAGTCTTTTGATGCCATATTTTCCATGTTCACTTATGGAACAGACCTACAAGAAATCAGCACGTATATGTGACAGTCAGACTATGTTTAAATGCTACCAATATGTCGTCATTCCAGTGACTTAGAACAGAGATCCATGTAATTGTTTGGTATTTTTTGCTTTTCCTACAAACCTAATGCACTGTCACCATAGACACACATTATTTACAAATGCCTATTTTAAATCAGTGTAAACAGAGTTGACAGATCCAGGATTACAGAGTGGTTAATATACAAACATTGAAAAGCTTCTGCCTGTGTAGTCTCTTAGTTGTCTAACAGACATTGCTGCTTTTCTTTTGCTCCAGGTTCAGTAGCATCCTATCAGGTGAAATAAAGGTAGATGCAGGACAGAGATTAGGTTGTTGCTTTTCGTTATATTCAAAAACGAGCAGTGATAGTCTAAGGATTATGTCTCGTATATTAATGCTTGCTACTGAACATTCATTGAAAATCTTATCAATTGTTAGGTGTACAATACAAAACAAGGAACTGGATTTCTGTTCAAAAAGAGGCAATCTTTCAATTCCATTTTAGAAATCTTCAGATCAAATTGGATGGGCACAAATGCCAATAGACAGCAACACGCTTTTTACACACATGTCCACACTGTGAAAGCAATCTGGTGACAGTACAATCCATGTGGTTTAAAAAGGGTTTTAGTGACTGCCTGCACAGATTTGCTGTGTACATATGAGCACAGATTGAAAATGTACATCCAAAGAATCTGTGAGGAGAAATGGAAACAGTACATAGAAACACAGCTACTGCCTATACTGCAACATTCAAACTGATGTGGTTTAACTCCTACCTGGAAGATGGAAATGTTTGGGGGCCTGAACATAAGATGGTGTTAGAGGCCTGCTCTCGGACCGACTAGGGAGAGGGGAGTTCCGACCACTGGATGGCTCAGTGCCTCCAATAAGAAGAGTAAAGAAAATGAGAATGGGATAGAATTCTTTTATCATTTTATACAACAAAAAAAATGGATGCTTGCATTAATAAAGTAACTAAAATTAATCCAAAACGTTACAGACAGGTGGTGTAAGTTACATTGTAATGGTGTGTTAGATCATTGACCAAACTTCAGTCATACTTATCAGATGTTCATTCTGAAATATAACTTGTACCAAAACTGCAAGGTTTTGTTTCTAATAAAATACATACAAATCATTCTACTTGTACAACAACGAGCAGTAATAATTGAATACTGGACCATTTTATGTAATTCTATAATACTTCAACATCCAATTTGACTATTTAAATATGAAACAAGGACAGCAGGTTAAATAAACTAAGTTTTATGTGCAATAATTGGAGAGTTTCCATCACTTGACTAAGCAGGGGTAATAATTTATAAACTGGCTTATCTTTGTAGAATGTTATTCTTTTATTAATTCATCCTTGAATATGCTACAGTTTGGAAAGGGAATCTCTTTGTAATGATTCTCCAGTTGATCTGTATAAAACTGAATAAAATTGGAAGCCATTACTCACTACACGTGAAATATTGCAAAGTCTAATACAAAAACTGCATGAGTTTTATTGCAAACTAACAAGTAAAAGAGGTTGATTATAAACAATGTAGCTTGTAATAAAGATGATAAGTTGACTGAAAGACAGAATTTTCAATAGTGTATACCTTAAAATACTCCATCTTACTCCATATATAAATAATCCTGAAATATCATTTCAAATATCTAAATTAAAGACAATTCTGAACCAAGCAGTTACCAAAGATGTGTATTTATTTGCCATTAAAGGTTTCAACAGAAAACAAACATTGCACAGACCCAAGGCCAAGCAGTAGATGCAACTCTAAACATTTTAGTAGATGCACTGACAGTGCGTTCCTGAAATTATGTTGCTATATTTCTGTTTAGCTCTCACACCAAGCAATTATCAGAGAATGCCATCGGCATAGTACAGTGTGATGGCTGTACTCACAGCTATGTCAGAGACTGTGATGCCAAAATGTGAGACTGGTAACAAAAACTTATATTAATATTGTGTTTTTAAAACATCCCAACATCCAGCTTCACAGAAGTGTTACCAAAGAAAATCTGACACCGAGCCACCTGAAATGGTATTAGGGCAGATGACCAAAAACTTCAGTAAAGAAGTGAGTTTGAAAGAGCCTCAGAAAAGGAAAAACGTGGAGACAGATAGAACTTGAGGGAGGAAATTCCAGAATTTGGGGTCTAGGAAGCTGAAGGCTTGATTACTAATATTGGAACAATTCAGATCAGGAATGTGACCAGAACTGGAACAGCACAGATATTTCAAAGGGTTCTAGGGCTGGACAATGTTACTTAGCTCAGGAGACACAAAACCATGGAGGGACTTAAATGCAAAGATAAGAATGTTATAAATATGGGTATTTCTGGACTAACAGATCAATGAGGATGAGAGCTTCAACAGCAAATGAATTAAGTGTGCAGATGAGCAGAATATTAGAAGATTCACTATTTTCACATTCTGTGCACAGAGCAAAATTACATGGCTTATGTGATCAAAACAGAATGTGTTAACACTCTAGGTTAAAGACATTATGCAATTGTGACAAAACCATTTCAATAGAAATGCTTAATGAGCATGCTTGACTTAAAGGAACTGTCTTTATTTCAACCCTCTAAGGATTGAAAGTAAAGCTTTCAAACATGGCAATGACAATATGTGACACAAGGTTGTTATCTTTCCCATGCTTACAAGTGTTTGAAAGTAAAGCCATGGGCAATGACATACCTATGTAAAATGAAGGAGCTGCAACAATGTTGAAACAGACAGATAAACAGGAACATAGAAAGTAAGCTGTATACAGGTAGTGAAGATAACATTTTCTGGTTCTTAAATATATTCTGTGAAATTATATCTAGAATGAGGGTTCACTGCATACATCGAGCGGTTCGTTACCTCCAGCAAAGTCTGTCCAATCCTTTCCACTGGAAAAAAAAACTAGACTGTCCCGAAGAATGGGTAATTGGCAACAGTGTCCTTTTTGGAATGCATAATGCACTCATGTTGTACAATTATACAATAGGAAATCATGAAATTGTTAAGGAGCTTAAAATTAATTCAATATAATTGTCATCATGAATAGAGTCAATTATCTGACATCCATATCATTCCTTCCTTTCTGATAACTAAAGCCAGTTTGTCTACACGTGTTGTCAGAGTCTTATTATTTACTACATAATTAAGCCAATCAAAGGTATTTCTACTAGAGCTATATGTTCAAATCATTAAATATATCAGAAAAAGCACTTTTTAAATATCACATTGTAAGCTTTTCAGTCCAGAAATCTATTGTTCAGAAACACCAGTGTCTGGAAATGTTTTGCACAGACCCAAGCAACTCATGGCATTATTTTAATGCAATACTTTGGGAGTGGAACCTTGGGAAATGTAGTAATTTTGTTATCACTGATTTATAATGTTTTCTCACTATTTTATGCTTGAACTAAATATTTATATCTATGGCGTTTTCAGGTTCACACACTTGTGGTTAAGCATTCTAATGTTATTCTTTGATATTAATCCGAATCTATAATAGAGAAATGACTTGGTCTCAAGCATTCCAGACTGAAGAGGTTATAGTGTCTATGCTGTAGGCCATAATGATCTAATATTCATGTACAAGAACAGAGTACATTCAATCAAATTAGTTACTACATTTTTGCAGCTACCAACAAGAAAATGCATTGAAGATGCAAGAAAATTGTGTTTGCATTATGACTAGATCAAACTTCAGAACACAAAACAACACCCAGTTAAAGGACTGAAGGTTTCAACAATCTTTCTTCCACCTTCAATTACAGTCTCAGAATAAAAAAAAACTTCTTAAAATTAAGAATCTGCAAGAAAAACAAGATTAGGTTATATTGAATATAAATTTAATAAAATGGTTTTTATAAAGTAAAAAGCAAAGAGAATGAGGAAAAGGAGGACAGAACAAACTGAAATAAACATCAGATATTCTGTGGCCCCACACCATGAGACGAGACACAATGGTGGGTTCATTGGAAAATCACAGGCACATTGACACAATTGTTCTTTTTATTAAACACCTTCCATTTTTCAACAAGCCACCTGCTGTGTTAGGAATACCGAAAAGATCTGCCTTAGTGCTAAATTCCAAACATTTTGTTTAAAAACTCATTTTGAACATGTAGCTGGAATTTAATATTGTTTGCACACGGTTGGATTGGGCGTCTTTAAAGACAACTAATACCCCCACCCACACTAACGAGAAAGCCCACTGCTTCAAGTGCCAATCCGGGCACTTGCTGGCTGCCCAGGAGGGTTTCTCATCCTCTCTGGTGCCACACCAGAGAAGTCTCACTCTGTCTGAACCCGCTGCCACCTCCCTGCCCCCATCCCCAGAAAGGAAGATAACTGGATCAGTGGTAGGTTGAGGCCCTTATTCATTTACCACTGAAGGCCATTAATTGGTGGTTGCCGATGGATGTTTCCACCACAACTTGATTGCTGAGCTGGCAGGAAGGGGCCAGGTATCTGTTCAGTGCCATCCCTGCCCATATTTGTACTGTCACTTATAGTGAAGAGAATATCCCACCCTGTAGTTTAGTTCTACTGCATTATTATGTGTTCCTGATACCTCAATGTGTTACCGGGATTTTGAATGACAATAGAATGTTGTTTCAAAAGCTTTTGAAACAACAGTCATTCATTTATAAAATTACTTGCTACAGCTCAATAAATGCATCAACCTTCTAGACCCTTAAACATTGTGCAATTGACAGAACAGTTGAGAGAGTCAGAGCTGTAAGTCAAACGTTGTTTTCCCTGGAGCATGATACTTTGGTAAATAGCTGAGTTCTTAGACAAGCCTCATTATGCATTCCTCAAGGACAGTCCAGACATCTATTAGAATGTTGAAACAGCAACGCTCCAAGGGAAACATTGCTTGATTGACAGAGCGTTGTCAGGCAGGGTTAACAATAAAATAGCATTTACTCTTTTCCCCATCCCACCACTGCTACATATTAACCCCCAACGGGTAACATGAGAGGTGGCCTACATATACTTAGTCAATGGAGGTCCTTGTGTGATGTGGAGGCTGACACCAGACCAGCTAGACAAAACTGCCTCCTTTTCAGACCTCATTGTGTTCATTAAATATTGAAATGGCTGGTGTCGTGCCATCAAGAGAAAATTACATGCTACAACACTATACAAAGCCTTGAAATATACTGAAGTGAAAGTCAATTTTCTTTTCAGATTTAAATCCAGCCATCTAATAAATCCAACAAAAATTTTGAATTCAAAGTTTAATGATCTGGTTTTCATCTGGCTCACTAATGGCCTTTAGACAAGGAGAGTGTTGATTTAAAAACTTCAGTGAGACAATGGAATTGCGAATTTAAAGAGCCCAGAGGCTCAAACCCAGCTCCAAAAGGTTTATTTGATGCAGTTTTAAAAGGTGTACATAGAAAAGGGAAGGGCTAGTAGGGAGGTAGAGACAGCACAAGAAAAGGCCCAAGAGATAGAGACAAAGCATAAGGACTTACAGTCAGCCATTCAGGTCCTTCACCAAGCTCAAACTCAAAATTGGGACAGAACCGAAGAGCATGCTAAGTGCCAGTGGGAGACAGTTCAATTATCAGTTATTAAAGTCTCAGTTATCTGGCCAAAGAGGGTTTATATGTGCCCTGTCTGGTGCATGTACTAGGCAATGAGCAAGTAAGGGGTGAGGTGGACTGAGGATATTTAGAGGATGAAGCAGCCCGACACGCTCAGCAGGAAGATGATGGTGAGGGTCCCAGGACACTCTCCACCCCAAACTCAGAAGGGAGAGGAAGTTATATCCTGGTCTCCCTCATGCGATGGCACCACCATTAGAAGAGATAGACCCCTCTGGAGCCTGCCTCAAATGAACCCCATTCAAGCCCAGGCACCATAGGAGCTGTGGACATTCAATATAGTTCCTCATATAACATCACAGAGCTAGGGAAATAGCAAAAGCAAGAATCAGCAGTTCTCCATTTTGAACAGCACCAGGAGGAAGCACTGAGATTGGCAAGGGCTCAGAACATACTGTGGGAGGGGGATGTCAATGTCTATCACCAAGAATGGCGTGGCAGCATCACTGCTGAAAATAGCCAATGTTCATAGATCATAGAATCCCTACACTGTGGGAACAGGCCTTTCAGCCCAACAAGTCCACACTGACCCTCAAAGCATCCCATCCAGGCCCATGCTCCTAAAACCCACCTAATCTACACATCCCTGAACACTATGGGCAATTTAGTATGGCCAATCCACCTACCCTGCACATCTTTGGACTGTAGGAGGAAACTAGAGCACCTGGAGGAAACCCTGCAGACACGGGGAAATGTGCAAACTCCACAGTCGCCAGACGGTGGAATCGAACCCGGGTTCCTGGCTCTGTGAGACAGTAGTGCTAACCACTGAGTCACCGTGTTAGAGCTGTCCACATGATGAGTGAGCACTGCAGAAAGTTAAACATCATGTAACCCTAATGTTATTATAATCTATATAAATTTAATAGAATTGCACTTATTTTTATTAGCCAAGAACGTTTTAGAAGGTACTTTAACACTAAATAAAATATAAGCAACATCTTAAAAAGTAACAAAAACAGAAGTTGCTGGAAAAGCTCAGTAGGTCTGGCAGCATCTGTCAAGAAAAAAATCAGAGTTAGCGTTTCGGGTCCGGTAACCCTTCCAGACCGAGTCACCGGACCCGAAATTTTAACTCTGATTTTTTTCTTCAAGGATGCTGCCAGACCTACTGAGCTTTGCCAGCAACTTCTGTTTTTGATCCTGATTTACAGTTCTTTGGGCTTTCATCTTAAAAAGTAACTTGCCTTATTTGAGAAGTGACATAATCATTTAAGAAAGTTTGTCAACTTATCTCTCAAACGTGAAACAGTACAATAGCAAGAACAAAGGAATCTTTCAAACCTGCAAGAAAGCTCACTGTGATTCGCCGTTTAAAATGAGAACTATTTTCATAATTTTCTCTTTAAAAGAGATGTCCCATTTTCTTGCGCTTTCAAAGTTCTGTGATTGGGTTGTTTCACTTACCAGGTCTGTGAAAGTGTTGTGGAGAGCGAGCCACTGTGGGGGTGTAGCAGTGACGAGTGTAGCTGGGAGAACTGATGGAGCTTTGGCTAGAGGACCTATGCACCATTCGATCACGTACATCGTGGTACCCCTAAAACATATTACATATATGTCACACTCAGGTCAGACAAGCCAGAGAGATATACTAAATATATTTTTTTCTTAAATGAAGCACATGGAATCTTTACAATGAGTTCACTGGTGAATTTAGTAGACAATAGAAATAGAATTGTGTGAATATTAATCATGAAAGTTAGATGCAGCATATAGTTTGCAGTTGAATGGAACAACTGGGTTGCACATTGGATGGTTATCACTGGGACATTGCAGCTTCAATAGGAAACATCATTTTGCGACCAATGTCATGCAGCATTTCCAAGAAGTGTTCCGATTGTTCATGGGTCATATTGCCTGCAGCTGACACTTTAAGCAACCAATTTACAACCAGGTGGGAATCCAAGAAAGGTTAGAATGCCTACCCACAGCATGCAGCAGTGACTCATTACTGTAACTAGTAACAGGAGGTAAAGGATGGTCAGGGAGTGAGGATGTATGCAGGGAGAAGAGAAAGTAAGGTAGGATGCGAGATGCATGTTAGCGTAAACGCAGGATCGCAGTTAGAGAGCCAGGACCAACTAACTGGGGAGGGGGTATGGAGAAGGTTGGATTGAACTGATGCCAAAGGACAGAAAAATGCTAACTTGAACTGGCGGGCATGGGTAAAACCAAACCAGTTTGAGCGATGGTTATGGAACAGGTTCAGCTTGAATAGAAGACAAAAACAATGGCATGTCAGGTTGATGGAGAAAGAAGAGAGCCATTATGAACCAGGAGAATTAGGGACAATCTGTGACTTGGGTGGGAAACTTGAGTTTATGAGATCTTTTGCACTAAGTTTAAAAACACTAGGTTGGAATGAACAGCCTCCCACAAAATTGGCTACAACCCAGGATGAATTCATCGCCATTGGGTGTTACCACACTTTTCTGTTGGCCTTTGAGGATGCTGCAAAAAATTATGCTGGATGTTTTGGGTGTTCGAACACTAACAGGCACATTTGCAATGTTTTGACTGTTATTTTTATTACTTACAAACTGATTATTAACACCAATTTAAGTCAAAAACAGTTCTTGCGTATTTTCAAATGTCATTTTCGGTATTTTGAAATTAAATTTCTCGAAAGGGAGTCTCCATGGTCTGTACTTTGTTAGAGAGAGATGACTGGTGATAAGCTTACCCGGAGGGTGGCTCAACCTCAGGTGAGGTTCAGGCAGCAGTGCTTTCACAGTGACCTCAGCCAGCACAGGAACTGAACCTACATTGCTGCTGTCACTTTGCATTGAAAACTAGCCTGCCAGCCAACTGAGCTCACCGAAGCTGAAGGGGCTCGGAAATTTAAAATACTCTCTTCTGTGAAAAAAAGAATTCAGTTGTTGCAATAAGTTATCACTCTTCAATCGACCAAGTTATAAACCAGAACAAAAAAAAAATCGAGTTTTACAGTGCTGTAAAATGCAAATAAATTTGAATGGGATCTTGGGGTAAAGCAAAACACTTCTCAAAGCAGCTCATTTTGTCACCTGTTTCATTCAAAGGGAAGGCTTGAGCCCATTAGCTCTATTTCATCAAGTGGGGAAGGCAGAACATCGTTGGGAAGAATTGCTGTTTGTCTGAGCACTGGGGGAGAATTGAAATTGGAAAAGGAACATGCCACTGTGAAGAGTAGAATTACTGATCAGCGAGTTTTTGGTGGAAGTGATGACGTACAGAAAACAAAACACCATTTATATTTCTTTTAAATAGAAATTCTAAAGTATAAGGGCATTTAAATTAGCTGGACAATGGTTGGAACTAGGAAAGACTGGTACAATTATACATGTATTGTTGATAGTTCTAACTGGAAAGACCCCACAATCACAAAAACTAAACCTGAATTCCCTATTTGATATTCGACATTCTATTTTGGAAAAGAGAAACGTAAAACCATTCCTGTCAATTATAAATCATATGGTGCTACCCCGAGAAAGAGGACTTCAAATATGAAGCAAATAATTAATTCCCAAATGACAAAATGGGTGTGTTTTTCAATGGGATTAAATAACTTACCTTTCCCTGCTAGACAAAATACAAAGATGATGTTCATTGTAGACTACAAAATACTACAAAGTGTGCCATATCAAAATGCAACATTTTCTGGGAAACTGCTCATGTCTTCAAAACTCATTTTTTCCTATCAGCTTTTCATGCATTTATGGCTTGTTTTCTCCAATACCAGTGGAAAAAAATAGTAGGAATCTCTACAATCCAAAACACCATTGTACATTAGTCTGATTACTTCTGTAAAAGACCACATGATAAACTTTCTGTGTTGGTCTGTATTTGAGTTGTTAGCTCTTTTGAAGCTGTTGCATTCACTAACCTCTTAGGCCGGCACACCCATAAATACAAAAAGTCTCATTTTTTTGAAAACTATATGCTTTATACAGTTGTCTCTGACAAGGAAAACAACCAACAGGTTGTTAAATGAATTATAGGGGCTAATTTCAATGTGACGTTCGACACGGTTTTTGTCAAATTGTCTGATTCATTTTTCTTTCCAATCTAGATACAAGTCATTTGGAATCATTAACCTTGTATTTGAAATATGCACCAAGTCCCAGATGGTTGGGTGTTCCAAACACACACATTGTTTTAGGGAATCATGCAATTTATTTTATCACAAGTCACTGGTCTTGTTACCAGCTGTGATGCACTTCGCCATTATTACTTCTTAAGTTCTTGCAGCTGTCCCAAGTGGAGAGAAACTACACTAGAACAGCAAGCCAAGCTAACTAATGTGTCTTCAGATGCATTTCTGCTATTATTTTGATTTAAATCTGCATTTGGCTTATTTTAGGCTTTTAAACTGACTGACATTCACATCAAGCATCATTTTCAATGAAAAACTATTTTTAATTACTTTAAATCTTATGAAAAACAGTTTGTACTTTTGACCCCATAGCCTTTTCATTTCCAAGTCAATAATGCTCCATTAACATTGGCTCAGATAGGTTTGGAAAAACAGTGGCCCCTCAATACAGTACTCTCTTAACTTCTTTATGAGCTGTCTTTTGGTCAACATTACAGAGACGTAGAAAGCTCCAAGAAATACAGCATTTGTTCCAGGTTTGATAGAAGTACAGTAATTGTTATTCTACTTCAGTGACTAGTGAAAGGATGTTGCACCATAACTACAGTTGTACTTTTGGCACGGCAAGTGAAAAACACCAAGTAAAAAAAAATCTTTAAGCAAAGCTAATTCATAATGACTCACTAATATTGAAAGTAAAGTCACAGGTAGAAATCGCATCTAAACTGCTTTCAGAGCATTGCAAGACAAGGAAGTTGACACTGAGGAGGAAGTTAGCTACTGAAGCTTTGAAAACGTCAACAACAAGGTGCAATGGTTTTGGAAGAGAATTTCAGATGACAGAGGAGGTGAAGGTATTAAAAGAAAAAGCTGCTAGCTTTCCTGAGTTTTCCATTATTTCAAGCCTTGGCATATTTCACAGACATAACAGCGGTGCAGAAAGGCAAATGCAGTGCACATACATGAAACTGTGAAACAAAACAGAAGATGGCTTGCTTGAGAGTGGAGGTTAATTTAATTAATTGAGAGCGTACATCAGGTAATGCTCTTGACAGTCTGGGCCAAGTATCTGATTGAATAATCTATACTTATCTTTGGTTGTGTCTGCATTAAGCCTGATTATCTTGTGTATGTAAGTGGTGGTTTGTCTTGCTTGATTAAAGGTATGAAAATAATACATTTTCTGGGATACCTGGTATAGGTTTTCACAGACCTGTCACTTTGGAGTGAGACTAAGGACACATTAGACAATGACACCATTTAACAATAATGGAATTATGCGAAACAGCCAATGGCAGCCAAAGATCATTGTCCATTCAGTGAGCCCTTAACACTGGGTAAGTTGCATACAGAATGTGGAACAAAGGATAGGAAACCGGTGACCGTGTTCCATGTGCTCTCTCTCTCTAACCATAACTGGTTATACAGTACAGTAGTAATAGACTGTTGCATATCATGGGGGAGGAGAGCTAAAGAAAGAGATTTAAATAAGAATTAAGACTGATACAGTCCGTTGGGAAATGGCATAGATATTATATCACTATATGCATATTACTGTGTTCATTTTAAGAGTCTGAAACTTCCAGGATTCATGAATTAAAGATGGGTAATGTCTATTTGTTTTAAAAAAAAACTCAATGGTTAGCACTGCTGCCTCACAGCGTTAAGGACCTGGGTTCAAATCCAACTTCAGGTGACTGTCTGTGTGGAGTTTGCGCATCCTCCCTGTGTCTGTGTGGGTTTTCGCCGGGTGCTCTGGTTTCCTCCCACAGTCCAAAGACGTGCAGGTTAGGTGAATTGGCCATGCTAAGTTGCCCATAGTGTTCAGGGATGTGTAGGTTAGGTGCATTAACCACAAGAAATCCCGGTTTACAGGTATAGTGCGGGGGATGTTTCTGGGTGGGATGCTCTTTGGAGGGTTAGTGCAGACTTGTTGGGCTGAATGGCCTGTTTCCACACTGTGGGGATTCTATGATGATTTCCCTGTCATAAAACCATGTTGAATCTATGACGATGATAGATGAGCTAAAAAAAAAAATCAGTGGCCCTGAATTGATGATTCCTAGGGATAATACAGACAAAGAAACTTGGGTTACTGACTAAGCTATGTCACTACTAGAGACCCAAACTAAGGTCATGGCACTGCATTGATAATTTCACATTTGTAATAGTTTTACATTTGTGAAAATACAAAATACAAGCACTGTAGAGACAAAATGAAATTTAACAGTGGCATATTGAATATAGAATACTCCAATTAATGGGCACTTTGTTGTTAACGGGCGTTTCTTTAATGGTCAAGCCCCTATCTATATTTGCCATATTTAGCCATGCTCACTAGTAAAGATCAGTCACACAAACCCAAAAAGATGTTCACAGCAGTCACTAACAGTTAACTTTTTTTTTACACAGTTTACAACAAAAGATAACATTTACACTGTTACATACAGAAATTATAAAATAATGCTAAAATGTCAATTACAACTAAGACCAAAGGTAAGTGAAAACAGAGTGATAACCCTCATTATAATACATCTTTAACCCAAAGTATTACCTTATCTTTTCTCCTTCAGATCCTATATGTGTAAGTCCAGCATTGATAATTTTTCTACAACTTTACCATAAAATTGAAAGTTGGGGAGCGTAAATCTGGCAACATATGTTATTGTTTGCAATGTGTTTGTTTCAGTAGCCAGTAAGAACATTTTGACTAAATGTCACAATTCTAATTACTGAATTCTACACCATTGCACAAAGCGAATGAATACTGTGAAAAAGATAAGGCTGAGAACTAAACATGAAGGGATTTACTGACCTCAGTGGAAGGTGTAGGGGAAAGTGTCCTTGGCGACTGTGAGATATTAGAAAAGAAATAAAACATGTAAAACCATTTTCCTGGTAACATCATACAGAAACTGATGATGTCTCAGAAAATGACTCATCAAAAAATTCTCAATTTGTTTCAGGATATATATTTAGAAACAAACACTTTATGATAAAACAAAAGTTACATTACAATAAAAGAAATGTCGACATTTATGCAATAACAATACAGATGCAAATCAGCAATTTTGGTGGAGAAAGTACATCAACAAAGCATAAGCTAGGGCAAGCACCTATTTAACAGCCATAATAAAATATTGTGCATATGCAGATGAAGCTTCAACTATGCACTGTACACTGTGTGATAGCTTCCTTGTCTGATTCTGTCATTTGGGTAATTCAATTTAGTAAAAGGTGATCCTGTCAAAACTTTACTGGAAATATGCAGTGTATTCAACTACTAAGGTGCCTTTTTCCTGATTTGGACCGCTACACAACGACCTTGAAGTTATAATTCATATGAAAATGAATAGAGGTAATCCAAGTTGGAAGCTTCTCCTGTTCAGTGATGGCACTAAAGAAGCCAAATTGGAGGACGATGTTAATCAGCAAAAAATTTTCCAAATTGCATCGAATGATAAAATGTATGTTTGTAAATATGAATTTTAACATTAACACAAGTGGGACTCTGAGTGGGCTGGAGGAATATTTTCAGGAGTATTTTATATTCATTCAATTAAATGGTTATCTAATTTTCCCTTATTAGTTAAAAGAAGCAACGTGGTTGTCAGGAATATTAAGTCATAATTACTTTTTTATAAACACACAAGGCCCACCTACTCTAGGGGTGTGTAATAACATCTCTGAAGAGGTTGATTAGAAAATATCTACAAATATATATGTGGAACTCAATTAGTACACCCAAACGATCTCTGTTCTTGAATCAGTGCTGCATTCCAGGGCAATTGAACATGTGAATTAAATGTACTCAAAACATCATTGGCAGCTCACCAAGATTTCAAACCAAACATGAACCTCCTTCCTCAACTTCGCTACAAGAGGGAATTAACAATAGAGAGGTAGAAAAGAAAACTAATAATGGAGAAATGCAAGAGTAGTTTTGGCATGCAGCAACAATGGAAAACTAACATTTTCCTTCTGCTAAGAGAACTTCACTGCTCCCACCTCAAACTCATTTTGGAACATGCAGCGTTTCAAATCAAATTGTTGCTCCAGTTTGTGTGCGTTGCCTGCGTCCACCCTAATAGCTCAGTATATAAAGGCACTGTACTGAGTAACAGTTAGACATATAAAACAGGGAAGTTCACTGGCTCCAAGCTATGCTAAGCCAGCTGACCTCACATCGGCACAGTGTGTTACAAGTAGCCTCAGCACTCTTGGCTTAGAACATGGAAAATATAGATCAGACAAATTTTTCAATCATGCTTGCTATCTAATAAATCTTGATGCAGCTCAGCACGTGAAATTGAGCAACAACAGAACTTAGCTGAGCTATGATGGCCTCTGCAATTGACTACTTTGCCAGTGCTCATTATTACAACTTCCACATGGAGAATGATCATTTTGGAAAAGCGCAGAGATCCTGTGGCACTCATGGAGCTACATTCTGGGATATTGGCTGCTTATCGAAGGTCTTTTCCTGCACCTTGCCTTCTTATATGTTGATGAATTTTGATCTTCTCCACTGTACATAATGCATAATAAGCTTATGGAAAGAAAGATGTGTTTAATGTGATATCAGCAACAAGCCTGCCACTTGCAGCAGAAATCCACCACTGTCTTAGTTACTATTGGAGAAATGTTACTATGGATTCTAAGCTTAATAGAATCCGGGGTTACCAGCGCCTCACCACTTTAAATACTGGTAACATATTTATATACAATTAGACCCTGGAGAGAGCCTTACAGTTTTAGCTGACAGGTGAACTTGGTGAATTTTGTTATGTGTACAAATTGTGAAGATATACCTAATGCAGGTAAATTAACACATCAGGAGAAATGTTTTTTGACCATTCTTTAAGAATAGTCTACAATCTTGGGTGTATGTTATAGACCTGCTTTTGTGTGAAAAGGCTCCATAAATTTTAGAGATTGCAAAGTTTAGACACACCCAATATCAACATCATATAGAATCACAGCATGCAGCATATAAGGAAGTCACATGACCACAGACTTTTTTTTCCCCCCCTTTTATATATATATCCATTCCACCCCTGAAAATTATTATTAATTCTACTTCAATCACTCTTTTAAAAAAAGCATCCTTTGTTGCAGGTTCAAAAATATTTTTATTGTTTTGGAAATAGGAATTGAAAGCATAGTTAACTGAAATTTTGGTTGTGATTGGGACATTTTTTTTAAAAAAAAAGGGCCAGGAAGTCATTTTTAGCCTTGTGCCAAAACAGTCATAAGAAAGCACGTGATTTGGGCTAAATGACCAGCAAGCCAATTGGTGAGATAATTGCTGAAACATTTACTTATGTAAGCTTTAAGACCTACAGAAAGTGGTGTCAGATTCAAGAAACAGATTTAGTTCAGAAAAAAAAAATCCACACCAGATGATGTGCTGTTCAGCAAACTCAAAGTAGTCAAAATCAGAGAAAATTTAGTGAACTAATCTGTGTCTAATTGTCTCAGGGAGGGATAGAAAGAATCGTATCTGGTTAATGTACAGGAAGTTACTAAAAGAAAACATTTCGGACTCTTTCAGTTGAGTATGACATTTTAAAGTGAAGATAGATATGATGCTTCAATGTCTATAAAACATACTGCTGGGAAAAGGACTAAATTTGTCATTTTTGTAGTTTATGATAAGCTCTTTCCAAGTTACATTCTTTTGTTTCTTTTCTGTGGTGTATTAAATTTATATCCTTTGTTAGAAGTACACTGGCAGCCTTGTGTAAATATAACTGACGGTTCCAGGAATAAAATTGCAAAACTAAAACTTATGGCTATCAAACCAGGTGCCACTCAATAAACTGACTCATCCAGTATTACCATCAGCTGGGGGTATAACAATTCCAAATCATGTCAACTTGCTGATTTCAAAAAGAGCCTCCTTCTCTTTCTCCTGGCTTTTTAAAACCAATTACCTAAAATGCGATTAAAGTCTAGCTGTTTGGTGGAGCAGCCTTTGGCTTATGACTCCAGATTCTCTCTGATGGCTGAGTAAAGTGTGTAATAAGCATAAAGTGGAACACCGCATCACTGGCATCTAATGTTTCATTTACCCTGTACATGGTCAGATACAATAGTGGCTAACAGTGTCAGCAGCAGTTGTTAGAGGAAGATGCTTCTTGTGGTAATCCACTGTTCCTCTCAAATCAACGGTAATGTCTCATTTGTTTTACACTGCTGCCACAAATGTTGGGACTGTTACCTTGTGTTTGGGCTGATGATGAAGCAATAAATGTCAAATTAGAACAAAAAACAGAAAATGCCTTGTATTTCTGTGTTGGCAGCAAATGGATTTTGGCATATCTAACATGTTATGAAAACTGTCAGGCAGTTAGAGCTTCCAGTTCCTTTAGTGTTGGTACCAGGAAGATACAGCCAAGGATCAAGGTAGAGGATGGTGGATTATAATAGTAGCAGCCCAGGGGAGCAAACAATATTTCACCAAGGGCTGCGGTTAAGCTTAAAAATTGTAAGGTACAATTTGTTTATAGACTTCAGTGAATGAAGCTCAGAAATGCCAAAGGGAAAAGTTATCACTAGAATATCCCTGGGTGTATACAATGATGTGGCCATAATTAGAAAGGATCAGGCAGCCCTATTTCCCTTAGCAGAGAGGTCAATAACTATGGGATGTAGATTTAAAGTGATTAGAAGAAAACTTAAACAGAAGTTAAGGAAAATTTATTTCCCCGGGTGTGCTCAGATCTTGAATTCACTTCCTGAAGGAGAACTGGATGCAGAAACCTTCATCCCACATCTAATTATTTGGATCTTATAGTATATGCGGAGGCAATGACCTAGTGGTATTTTTGTTAAACTAATAATCCAGAAACTCAGCAAATGTTCTGGGGACCTGGGTTCAAATCCTACCATGGCGGATGGTTGAATTTGAATTCAATAAAGAATCTGGAATTAAGGGTTTAGTGATGCCCATGAAACCATTATCGATGGTCAAGAAAAACCTATCTGGTTCATGAATGCTCTTCAGGGAAGGAAATCTGCCATCTTTACCTGGTATGGCCTACATGTGACTCCAGACCCATGGCAATGTGGTTGACTCTTAAGTGCCCTCTGGGAAACTAGGGATGGGCAATGAATGATGGCATAGAGCTGTACTTCAACTTTCAACTACCTGCAGGGGTGCAGACCAAGAGGTGGAAGGATGGGTCAGTCTGGATAGCTCTTTTATGGCTAATACAGAAATGTAGGACTGAATGGTCTCCTTCTACACTGTAAATGTTTCATGTTTCTATGATTGAAATATTAAGCGAGGCAAGTTTCACATTGGGCACTTTTGTCACTAAAAGCAGCAGCCAGAGGCTTTCTCCTTGTCATTCAATGGTTATATGCTATAATGTATGCAATCTGCAGATGAATGCAATGTTTATTATTAACAGGCTAAGAATTTCAGTTTACAACTTCCAATATATTTAGGGCTGGATAAATATTTCCTATATATTTATGGTTTCCAGAGGGGTGAGGGAGGTGGAATGGGAAGGTGTGATGTTTGCTCATTCCTGCTTCCACTGTTTCAGCATGTCAAATTTCAGCCAGCCAATTAGTGACTACCTGGCCAGAATGCCAGCCAATAAAAGCTATGAAGAGGAGTTCTCCAACCAGGCATTTATGGTGGAGAGGGTACGTAGGACTTCAGTCTGGCAGGAGAGGGATTCATGACTTCACTTCACGGCCACCAATTTAAAGACCCTTTTCCTTCACACCTTAATTGTTTCAACAGCCTATAAGATTTGAAGAAATAGCGTGTAATAATAGTCAAATGCTGTCGCTCTGACTTTTTGTTTGTGGCACATGGGCATCCATGGTGGCCAGCATTTCTTGCCTGTCCCTAGTTGCCCTTGAGAAGGTGGTGGTAAACTGCATTTTTGAACTGCTGCTGTCCACATGCTGCAGGTTGACTCACAATACCATTAGGGACCAATTCCAGGATTTGGACCCAGTGACTGTGAAGGAATGGCGATATATTTTCAAGTCAGGATGGTCAGTGGCTTGGAGGGGAGCTCAAAGGTGGTGGTGTTCCTATGTATCTGCTACCCTTGTCCTTCTAGATGGAACTGTACCTTAGTTTGGAGGGCACTGTCTAACAATCTTTCTGCAGTGCATCTTGTAGATAGTACACACTGCTGCTACCGAGCATTGGTGGTGGAGGGAATGGATACTTGTGGATGTGGTGCCAGTAAAGTGGGCTCCTTTGTCCTGGATAGTGTCAAGCTTCAAGTTGTTGCAGCTGCACCCATCCAGACAAGTGGGGAGTATTCCATCACACTCCTGACTTGTCCCTTGTAGATAGTGGACAGGCTTTGGGGAGTCAGGAGGTGAGTTACTCACAACGGCATTCCTAGCCTCTGACCTGTTCTTGTATCGACTGTATTTATATGGCAAGTCCAGTTAAATTTCTGGTCAATGGTAACCCCCAAGGTACTGATTATGAGGTTTCAGTAATGGTATTACCATTGAATGTCAAGGGGTTGTGGCTAGTTTGAATTTTATTGGAGGTGGTCATTGTGTGGCTTAAATGTCACTTGTCACTTGTCAGCCCAAGCCTGGATATTGTCCAGATCTTCTTCCATTTGAATATGGTCTGCTTTAGTATCTGAGGAGTTGCGAATGTTGCTGAACATTATGTAATCATCAGCAAATATACCCACTTCTGACCTTACAATAGAGGGATGGTTGATGAAGCAGCTGAAGATGGTTGAGCCTTGGACACAATGCTGAGGAACTACTGCAGAGATGTCCTGGAACTGAGATGACTAATCTCCAACAACCACAACCATCTTCCTATGTATCAGGTATGAATCCAACCAGCAGGGAGTTTTGCTGGTGCTCCTTATTGTAACACCAGTCGAATGCAGCCTTGATGTCAAGGGCTGTCACTGTCATCTCACCTCTGGAGTTCAGTTCTTTTGTCCACGTCTGAACCATGGCTGTCATGAGGTCAGGAGCTGAGTGGCCCTGGTGGAACCTAAACTGAGTATCAGTGTGTAGATTATTGCTGAGCAGGTGCTGCTCGATAGCACTGTTGATGACACCTTCCATCATTTTATTGATGATGAAGGGTAGACTAAGAGGGCAGTAATTGACCAGATTGGATTTATCCTACTTTTGTGTGCAGGACATACCTTGTGTGTAGATGCCAGTGTTGTAACTGTATTAGGACAGCTTGGCTAGGAGAGCAACAAGTTCATTTGCACAAGTCTTCATTACTATTGCCAGAATGTTGTCAGGGCCCATAGCCTTTGCGGTATCCGGTGCCTCCAATGATTTCTTGATATCAAGTGGAGTCAATCAAATTGGCTGAGGACTGGCATCTGTAATGCTGGGGACCACTGAAGGAGACTCTGCTGCTATTTGCAGCACTAGTCCCACTTGTAGGACTTTCCATCTGCCCTTTGTACATCCTCCTCATGCCTTGTGTTTTTTCCCCATGGAACTAGCGAAAATGGAATGAATATTGACAAATTTCTGTTGATTGGCTTTTTAACATGCTCAACAGCTTGTTTTTTTTTCAAAAGGGCTTCCTATTTTGGCACCTGCCAGTCTTCCATGTTATTGGAAACTGGCAAGTCAATGTTGGATGACCCACCCAACTTAATTGTGGTTGATGTTACGAAAGCATGAGGGGGTTGGCCTTCCTGACTTATGGCAGTATGATCTAGCCCTTAGTTAAGTTATTGCTATGTAACATTGATCCACAATCTTATTCGTGGTGGTGTGTAGATAGCAATCATTTTCAGTTATTGATTTTTCTCCTTTCCTGACACAAATATTTGCCATGAAGCTAGCAAATCATAATTGTTATTATCACCAATCATTAAGAAAGTTTAAAGATACAGGGCCGCACACAATAACAATTCATTTTGGACCTGATTTTTAGAGCTTGCAGTATACCAACCTAGGTCATATAGCTATTGGGTTTTTACAATGAAAATGTTTTAGGTATTTTCAAATCCCACAGGTGAATTTTGAAACTGATTGTAGAGTGATACAATGAGTGTGGGGAAAGTATGTGTTACACCTTAGCTCTCACTGGTTCAACTCCTCCCTTGAGAAGTCACAGTGGCAGGTTTACAGTGCAAGCCACAACTTGGAGGGTTAAGTTCCTTCAGAAGTTATATAAATTGGATAAAAAATTATCCAGAATGAAGATGGAACTTGTCATGTTTCTTTAGATTGAAATACTGCTTTAAAGTTAAGACAATTTTGACAATAGGTTAAGTTCTCTGGATGTAATACTTCAATAAATAAATTCCCATGTTCTCTTAAAAATCAGGCCTTTATTTCAATGAGGTAGTAGTTAGTCTTGTTGGCATGGTCAGCAGAAAAATGCTTCAGTTTTTCTATGAACATCACAGAAACTGGCAACTCCCCAATAATTTCAAGTGGCCAGTTATCGCCCACGAGTTCAAGTATTGGTTAGTTACAAATAAATTTTATATGGTTGAGGAAACATTATTTAGTGTTAACCCAATTTTCTGCAGATTTCTGTCGACCATACCTATTAGGCTCAGAAAGCAGAGAAGGTTAATCAAGTTTCATTGCACAAGCATTCTTGTGCAAAATGGTCATTTATCACCAACTTACAATTTCACTTTGAACAAGCGAGCCGTTGTCACTCCTTGCGTATTGAGACTGTCAACAAAGAATCAGTTTTTAACATTCGGCATTGAGTGTCAACCTGCACTACTCGTCCCTTTAGAGGTCTATGATTTCAAGTGCAGAGCTTTAAGACACAGAGGCCCCTTTATTGACAGATCTTTAATAACATTTACTTTAAACTGCTTTCTCCTAATTTGAGAGCCAGTGAAAATGTATCAGTTAGCTTTACAAACAATTATTGCTCGTTAGAGTGTGAGAAATAAAGGGGCTGATAATCATCTTCTTACAGCCTATTTCCTGATGTGTACATGGTAGTAACGGCACAAAAACTGGATGTAAATAAAATCATCCAGTTATTACCGCCATCCCATGGCTGCTGAACCTGGTCGCAAACTTGGTAGTTCAGGTCAGGAGACAGCCATGTACAGTGTGACATAAAATAATCCTGGGTATAGCTGAGTTGAACTGGAAGGTCTGGCAACGGTTTCACTATTTTCATGACTCTTAAACTTTAACGGCTCCTTCAAGTTCAACTATTTCATTCTTGGTGTGCATTCTTTACATTTTCTGAGTACTTCAATCTACTCTGTTGACCTCTCATTTATTCAGCCCACCCAGTTAATGGGGCTGCTGTGAGCACACTGCAGTCTGTGTCTGACTTCTATGTATACCTTCTCACCCTACAACATGGCAAACTGCCCAGGAGCAGTTTACCTCCTACAGCAAAATGGGCTGCAATCACAAAAATGCATCGTCAAAAAACAGGTGGAGAGGACCTCTCACCCGTCATTGTCCCATCATCTACATCTGAATTGAAATTGACCCAAAAGGTATCATGGAACAAATACAGAGCAATGAGTGATATTGGGTTTTGAAACGGACATATTAAGCGCATTATTGTTGTACTGTACCTCTCCCATACTATGGCGTTCATGTCTATCCTCAAAGGTGGTGCCAAAATATGGCTCATAAGTGATCAGGTCAGGCCGTTCAATGTCATAAATAGCCTTAACTTTGGGGATGGCAGCCAGGTCCTTATAGTCAAGAATCTCATTGTCCACTTTTGCCTGGAAAATAAGACGTACAGGAATTATACAGCATCACTCAAGCAGTTAGATACTTGCTCACTTTTCTCAAAGTCAGATGAAGTTAACCAATAACAGTGGTCTCATATCTAACAAGTCTATAATAGGTTTCACGGTTTGAAATGATATAGTCTGTAAGTTTTTGCATTGTTTTTTGGGTGCATCTTACTTGGTGGTATCAGCATTAAACTGTCACAGATCAGTGTTGAAAAGGATCAATGCAAAGTGAAGCCTTATCTACTCCACCTCAAACATCTGCAGAGATGGCCAATCTCTGCCTAAGAAGTCCACCCTGAGGGGTTCAGGCATATTTGAGTCCATTGCTGAGAAGTTGGATAAAAGTGAGCTTCAACAGCCAAAGGGACTGCTATTTTCCCACATATCTGCCAAGCCTTGTTTCTTTTTCCACTTATTGGCAGCTTGCCTTCAGGGAAAGAAGAGCCTCATGAGAAGATGCCAAATTTGCAACATTTTGCTATAATATTCCTCCTAATAAAGACAGAAACAACATTGAAAAATCAAATATACTAATGAGACAATCGCAGGCTTATTACTGGATCCACAGTGTGCGACCGATGTTTAATTTGCTGTCTGGGAAATCGTCGTGAAACTTTTATTTCTTTTTCCACACCAGCTTTGGCTCAGCCCATAGAACTCTCACCTCTGACTCACAAGGTTCCAGGTCAAGTCTCACTCTGAGGCTTAAGCACAAGAGTCAATGCAAACTCTCAAAAAACAATATTGAGGGAATGCCGCACTCTAGAGGCATTGTCTTTTAGTGAGGCCTTAAACAGGGACCCCATCTGCCTGTGCAGGTGGATGCAAAAGATCCTGTGGCACTTCTTCAAAGTAGACCAGGGGATTTATCCTTGTTTTCTGTCCATTATTTATCTCTCGATCAATATTAGTCACAGAGTATCTGGTCATGATCACATTGTGCAAATTGTCTGCCAAACAACAATGATTGCAGTTCAGAAGGACTTCCTTGATTGTAAAGGGCTTTGACATATCAGTGGTCACGAAAACTGCAAGAAACACAAGTCTTTCTTTTTTACTTCTTTTCTCTTTTCACAAATTACACGACACCATGGAGACTTGTGACCAGAAGAAATGCACAGACAGAATATATCGTCTTAGAAATTACAGTCATGGGTATTCAAGAGTTGTATGTTCATAAGCACTGTAAATGGGTGTGGGAATCACAAATCATGGTGGCTCCACAGCCGTGGATACGAGGCAAACAATGTGCAAACTTGACGTCAGGTTGTATTGTGCAGCCTTGTGCAGAATCAATGAGCTGCACCCTCAGTGTATGCATGAGTAAGCAACAATTAATGCAAGCTCACAGCTCTTGAAGTCAACTAGACCTCTTAAAGACAATGTGCTGCACCAGCTGTGCAAGAGCTGGACACCAAGGAGAAGCTTGCCAACCAGCAAAACCGTAGAATCATAGAATCCCTACAGTGTGGAAGCAGGCTGTTCAGCCCATCATGTCTACACTGATTGCCCAAAGAGCATCCCAAACAGACCCACCCCCCCACGCTATCCCTGTAACCCTGCATTTCCCATGGATGCTCCACCCAGCCTGCACATCTTCTGGACCGTGGGAGGAAACTGGAGCACCTGGCGGAAACCCATGCAGACACGGGGAGAATGTGCAAACACCATATAGACAGTCGCCTGGGGGTGGAATCAAACCTGGGCCCCTGGCGCTGTGAGGCAGCAATGCTAACCATTGAGCTACCCGCACAAGGGGCAAGAGAACATACATCAGGATTCCACGATGAACGACTGAAGTGATGGTACAGGAGGTGGACAGGTTGGGTGAGATTCTCCTCCTCAGTTGGCAAAGAGGCCTTTGGGGCAAAGCCCATAAGACCAGATAGGCATGGAGGTCAATGCCAGGATTTTGGCCAATGACTTGGCTGCAGCACCACAGGAAGTTTAAGGACTGCACATAACTATTTATGATTCATATTAAAGATGAATAAAGATGGAAGAAGGGACTGACTTTATTGTCGCTAAGTTTGCTAATGATATGTTAGCTGTCCCTCAATTCAAGGATGGCATCAACTCTTAGCCACAAACCCACTGTCATGTGTTTTCATTTAGCTAAGAAGGCCAATTCTCTACCCAGAGTTCTTTAGGTATGTTGGGCCAGAAGTTCCATGAGAGAGTGGGTTTTCAAGCGCAGGATTTTCTGCGTCAATGGACTTGAAACATTATCTGTAGAGAGTAAACAGAGTTACTGTCAGACCTGTAGTGTTTCTCCAGCACCTTCGGTTTTTGTATCATCCATATTACATTTGCTTTTTGTAGTCATTCTGAGTTCAAAAGCAAATAAATGTTGTTACTAGTTACTCACATAAATTGTGTGGCCAGGTGAGCTGGGTATGCTGGAACCAGGTCTGGAGGAAATACTTTCAGAAGAGGATCGTGTGGGCTGCAAAGAAATAGAGGAAATAAAGAGAAGAGAAGAATTAGTTTTCTGACGGTTAACAATTTAACACCGTGTGACAAAACATTGAAGCATTTTGCAACATAATACTTTACAGCAAAAATGCAAAGATGTGCACAAGTTTTAAGCACAAAATATTTAACATCTGAAGTTAAGTTGAGCTAAAAGTCTTCAATCTCCCTTTTGCTTTCTTACTTATCAACATCTGAAATATTGTGACATGGCATTCCTCAGTGGCACTGGCAAGTTCAATCTTAGCCACAGAAGTCGAGCTGGTCATGAATAACCTGGCCATCAGCCATAGAAAATACATTCAAGCTCTGACTGTGTAAGGCGGATAGCTAGAAGTCTCAACCTGAAGCTGCACAGTTACAAACAGCAACTCTAACTCAAAGGGAGACAGCGGCATTGTGATTAATGTCACTAGACTAATAATCGAAAGTCCCAGACTAATGCTCTGTGGCCATGAGTTCAAACCTCACCAAAGCAGATGGTGAAATTTGGATTCAATTAAGAAAAAAATCTGGAACTAAAACCTAGCCTAATGGTGACCATATGTCGAATGTCATAAGTTATCTGGATCACGAAAATGCCTTCTATGAAGAAAATCTGACATCCTTACCTGGCCTGACTTATGTGTGACTCCATACCCACAGCAGTATCTTACCTATCCTCTGAAATGGCCCAGCAAACCAATCAGTTCAAAGGCAATTGTGGATTGGCAATAAATTCTGCCCCAGCCAGCCAACAACTTAAAAAGCAAACAACAGAAAATTCTGAGAATCCAACTAGCAAATTAAGGAGCAGCTTGAAATTCCAAAACCACTTCCCAGGGATAATTTGTGAAGCATCATCATAACTAAAGGGTATATAGTCAGTTCATGCAGTAAAGCAGCCATAGCCTCCCTACAAAGATGCCACTGGCTGCTATCTGCCAAAAAAGTGTAGAGCTGCAAGTATTTCAGACCTGAAACTAGGCCTCATTGTTAAAATTAATTACCACATGCTTCTACTGCATATACCATGGAACAGATATACAGGGTGGGGAATCAAGTCGAGATGACACCCAGCTGAGTGTGCTAGTTGCTTGTTGGTTACAATTGCAGTGCTCTCTTGCTAAATGATATCATAACCATTAAATCAATTGCTCCCTTGCAGACAATGGCACTGTAATTTACTCTGTGCCACGCTGTCATTTCCTCTTGAAATTGTTGCAGGCTCACATTGTCTGCACTGCAATTGAGTAACAAATAATGAAGTATAATGTTAGGTTTGCAAGTTAAATCTAACGTATTCACATTATACACATGGAACAGATATATGGGGTGGGGAATCTTGTCGAAATGATATGACTCCTGCCTGCCGGTTGAAGAAGAGGTACAGCAAGCAAACAGGAAAGATAACAGAATGGTCTTGTTTACAGTTGGGGGAGTTCAGTACAAAAATACAGAGGTGGTACTTCAGTTATGCAGAGCATTGGTGAGACTGGAGTATTGTGTACAGCACTGGTCTCCTTATTAAAGGAGAGCTGTAAATGAACTGGAAGAAGTCCAGGAAAGATTTATGAGACTAATACCTAGAATGAGAGGGTTATCCTATGAGGAAAGATGGGACAGGTTGGACTTGTATCCACTAGAGTTTCGAAGGTTATTAAATGGCTTGATTGAAATATATAACATCATGTGGGGGCTGGACATGTTGGAGGTACAGAGAATATTTTTTCTTGAGGGAGAATCTAATAGGTAAAGTCATCTTTCAAAAAATAAGGGGTCACCCTTTTAAGTTAGAGATGAGGAAAATTTGTTTCTATCAGAGTTTTTGGAACCCTCTTCCTCAAAGGGTTGGGGAATCAGAGTCTTTGAATATTTTTATGGTAGAAGTGGACAAATCCTTGAATGCAAGGGGGTCAAAGGTTAGTGTGGGGGGACAGAAATGTTGAGTTCAGTTTACAAACAAATCAGCCACAAACTTATTAAATGGTGGAGTAGGCTCGAAGGGCCAAGTGGCCTATTCCTGCTCCGAGCTTGCATGTTTGCTTGGATGTATGGATAAAAGCCCCAGGTCTCCTTTCCACGGAGTGGCCCGACAATATTTCAGTGTAAAGATAACACAGCGTGGAGCTGGAGGAACACAGCAGGCCAGGCAGCATCAGAGGAGCAGGAAAGTTGACGTTTCGGATTGGGACCCTACTTCAGAGTAATCTGGCACCTTCCCGGACAATGACAGACCTCTTACTGAGTTAAGTTCCGAATCAGCTGGAAATCCTGCCCCTGAGGGCTGTCAGCCAGTCAAAGGTTACTGCAGTCATACACTAAGGTCGCTCTATGGATCAGTACTGGGTTTTTGGAAAGACATAAGTGATCGGGATAGGTATTGCAGCAGGGAGGTTGGTGGAGGGGGCATTCAGAAGCAAAATCAAGGTGGTCTCTTTTAGCAGACCCCATTCCCAGTGCCAAGTATCTCAATTAGGTACTGAGTGCCTGTGAATAAGGGATCTGTCTGGTAAGCTGCTGCCATACACAACAGACTTTACTAGGTGGCACTTGTGATAGAAAACTCATCTTTCTGTCCACTCATCTTTACAGTGGCAAGGCCACAACTGCCACTACAATAGGCTGCATTGTCAAGATATCACACACCATATCACATAACTGAAAGAAAACAACTGCTGTTTAAAAATGTCATATAAGAATGTACAAAAAGGGCCAAATGACCTATTTAACTCCACACCTATAAATGAAAATTTTGCACGGGTTTCAGTTGGAGAAAAGCGATAATTGCAGAGTTTTGCAGACATTAGTGTTTTTAATTGAAACAAACTGTCAAAAAACTCAAGAGAACTTGGCACAATTAAAACACTTTTTACTTAAACTCTTAACTCAGAATCAGCTACCTATAATCAATTACAAATTTATCGAGTTAATTATAATAAGAGGCTCAAACAAAACAAAACCCAGCTGAGTGTGCTAGTTGCTTGTTGATAACAATCGCAGTGCTCTCTTGCCAAATGTTATAATGACCATTAAATCAACTGCTCCCTGGCAGACAATGTAGATGGCACTGTAATTTACTCTGCACCACATTGTCATTTCTCCTTGAGATGTTGCAAGCTCACATAGTCTGCACTGCAACTGAGTACGAAGTAATGAAGTATAATGTTAGGTTTTCATGTTAAATCTAATGTATTCACATTATATGTATGCTTATTGCACGGAATCATTTCCTCTTTATAAAATCCTTAAAGTTAGCATACTAAACTGTGAATTATATATGGTTTAAATGCTCCACACAGTGAATTTAAAGTGTGCCAATTATCTTTCACTCAATCCTTCTGTGAAAAGGTGTTACGCTAAGATTCAGGAACAAAAGAAGTAATTTAATGTTTTGAAAAATAAGATTACATCCTTCTAACTTATCCTTTATCCTAATATTCTTCATTGGTAAAGATTCCATACTTTTAATTTGCTGTGTTAGGAAATAGCTACCTACAAATCTGTGCTAAAATGATGGCAAATAAATAACACCCTTAGACACTCAATAATCCCAACTGGTAAAACTTGTCCTGTACTTATTTCTTTTAAGGCATAATCTTGCCATTGAAGATCAAGGGCAGAGCTTTTCAGCTATATACAAATTAAAAGTAACATTATCCTTGACATGATGAGGTTACTTACATAAATTAACCAGTATACATGGATTATGTTGTTTTCCTTTTTAAAAGAAAATCAATAAATTAACAATTTCTTGCCAACATTTGCAATAAAGCAGAGATTCTATCCTTTCCAGAGTGAGCTGTCCTGAAAAGTCTGACCAGAACTCAAAGACAGTTTTCACAACAGCTTGTTCAGAAACTGAGCCTAGTCAAAACTGGCCAGGAATAAACTTTTAACGCAATTACTGTAATAATTAATATCACATTGGATGGCTGAAATTAGAAAAAAAACAATACTGCTTTTGCTGCAAATATAACAAAAGTTTTGGATCAAATCATGAATATAAAATATGTGAATGACATCCAGAGCTTGAAGAGCTGAATAGATTTACTTTCTTCCTCTTGTTCTGAAATTAATTATTGTCTTAATGCTCTTGGCAGTATACCCGATGGACAGGAAATTGCATGGGAGCATTGCCCAGGGAGAATTAAAGATGACTGAAAATAGCATTTTCCTTTCTGAATGAATCCTTGCAGTTGATAGAATTCTAAGTGAAGGGACAGGTAGTGTTGAGGAGGCGGGGAGGCTGCAGAAGGACTAGGAAAGGCTGGGATAATGGGCAAAGTAGTGACAAATGGAATAATATGTGGGAAAGTATGAGGTTACGCACATTGCGAGGAAGAATAGGGTTATAGACGATTTTCTAGATGGGGAAAAGCTTTGGAAATCTGATGCACAAAAATGGACTTAGGAGAGCTAGTTTAGGATTCTCTTGAGATGAATATACAGGTTCAGTTGGCAGTTAGGAAGGCAAATGCAACGTTAGCATTCATTTCAAGAGGGCTAGAATACACAAGCAGAAACGTACTGCACACACTCTATAAGGTTCTGATCAAAACCACATTTGGAACACTGTGAGCATTTTTTGTGCCCTGTATCTAAGGAAAGATGTGATGGCCTTGGAGGGGGTCCAGAGGAGGTTTACAAGAATGATCCCGGGATGAGGGACTTGTCATGTGAGGAGCAGTTGAGGGCTCTGGGCCTGTACTGAAAGGATTTTAGAAGGATTGGGGGGAGGGGGGGGTGGTGGGGCCATCTCGTCAAAACTTACACAATACAGAGAGGCCTGGATAGATGTAAAGATGTTTCCATTAGAAGGAGGGATGAGGACCTGAGTGCACAGCCTCAGAATGAAGGGATGATCCTTTAGAACTGAGATGAGGAGGAATTTCTTCAGCCAGAGGGTGGTGAATCTGTGGAACACATTGCCACAGAAGGCTGTGGAGGCTGAGTCACTGAGTGTAATTAAGACAGAGATAGATAGGTCTTTCT